TATATATACAGCATATTTCATCACCTATTATTAATCTCCTTATTCAGCGAGGTATCATAAGATTATCACTTGATTGAAATTTGATTGGCATTATTAAGTCCGTCTGTTCAAGATCAGAAACGTAATGCTACTGTAAGACACGTGAACTGATACGCTAAGCATACATATACTATGTTAAACCTCAGTGATAACGAGAGCCTCTGGAACGCATCTTGCAATATTAGACTATTTCTGAGTCATAAAGTAGACCTCTATGGCCATCCGAATGTGTGCGGTTATCATTGCATTAATTCGGATAGAGCTATTGAAATGTAATACTAACAATGTAAGTTTTTTGTTTCCCGAAGGGATTTAAATAAATTCGTTGTTTTTAATGATTACTAGGCCTACCTACTATTATTTTTTTTATTATAATTAGGAGTTATTAATACTAATGAGCTAATTATTTATATATCAATATTATTATTATTTTGTTTTTATTGCCATTATTTTTTTTTATTACCATCTGTTTTTATGATTATTTTGTTGTTTTATTTTGAGATTGTTCTTCGTTTTCATTTTATCGTATTTTGTATTATAACCTAATAAATTTAATAAATTAATCAATTATGTTTCCGTTATGAATCAATAAATAAATCTAAAAAAACACTTAAAGAAAAAATATTCACCACGATTCAAAATATAGAAACATTAGGATCATCATCGTTTCATCATCATCATTTCTTCAACATCATCATCGTCATCTTCATTATTATTAATAATCATCATCCTCCTCCTCCTCATCATATCATCATAATTATCATAATTTCATCATCATCATAATTATTATAATTTCATCATCATCATCATCATCATCATCATCATCATCATTATTGTCATCATCATGAACGTCATCAATATTAACATAATCTTTTCAACACCACCGCCATCATCATCATCATCATCATCACCATCATCATCATCATTATCATTCTCAGAAATGTTATGTCTATGGCACTTCTAGATCTTCTGAAATGGCACTCTCTAGAACAAATTTTACGTAATGTTCTTTTTATTATTATTATTATTATTGATCGTATCATCCTCCCCCTCATTCTCGTCTTTTTTTTTCTTCGGCTTCTCATCATCATCATCATCATCGTCGTCGTCGTCGTCGTCATTATTATTATCATCATCATCACCATCATTATTATCATTATCATCATCATCATCATCAACAACATCATCATCATCATCATCATCATTATCATTATCATCATCATCATCAACAGCATCATCATCATCATCGTCATCATCATCATCATCATCATCATCATCATCATCATCATCATCATCATCATCATCATCATCATCATCAGCATCAGCATCATCGTTCCAATAGGCTTAATCATCGTAGTAAGGCCCCGTGCAGAAGCTAATTTAGAAACCAAATCAGGAGACCGGAGATCATGATCGATTATGATTGGTTACGATTGATGAGTATGATCAATCACCCACCAGACTTTTTAATTTCCGAGCAGTTAGCTTGGAATGATAAGATAACATTCGATCATTCCGACGCCATGAGTACCGGTACTTCTGACAGAAACTTTAATTATTTGGACAATTTACACTAGGCAATTGCAGAAAGCGGAAGTATTTTAAAAGACAATCTAACTTTCGAGCATGGACCTAAATAGGTCCATGTTTCGAGGGTGGAGTACGGGAATGCTGTTGTACCCACTCCACGGTGGAAAATTTCTATAGTTCCGCCAAGTAGATTGTATATAAATGTCCATTTATATGGATTTAGATCCGTATTGACAATTTCGCACCCCGAACAGAAACCATCCTGTAATGAATGATTTTTTTTTAATAATCCAAGTCTTCCTCTAATTAAAAACCCTCCAATTAAAGACCATTTCCAAATAGGGCCTAGAATAAAGACCACTCTTCTGCGGCCCCAAATTAACAAATGTCTTTTTTCTTTATCATTCTAATTTAGAGACCAAGCTTGCTAAAGACTACGGAAACCCCGGTCCTTAAAAGTGGTTTTAGGCGTTGGGCCTATTCATGGTTGTGCTAATTTATGGCACAGTCATTTTTTGACATATAGAATTAAAAATGGAAAAGGTAATACTAGAAGAAAAGTAAGCTTTTAACAATGGGTCCCATTTAAATAAGTGAGTGTAGTAATTCATACATATAACTATGTATTTATAAATAACATATAGGTAATAAATTTAATAAACAAATAAAAAATGATATAAAAATATACAAATACCTATCTATAGATATCAAAGTTAAACTTCTCTATAAAAATATGCTTTGAACCGAAGTCTACAAATCTACATCATATTGATAGTCTGTTAATGTGGGATTCGTACGATGTTCATAAATAATTATGAATGATACTGATGAACGGTGAAGCCTATCAATTCACTGGTAACCCAGGAGAGTTAGAGATAATTAAAGAGATAACGTGGTGATCTGCTAGAAAGTTGAGTTAACCAAGCAGAAAGGGGTGTATTCAGGTAATCTATACTCATTAATACAAAATAGACTCCAGAAGAAATGGCAATTAGTACAAGGTGAACCATGTTAATTAGGTTTTGGTCCTGTATCATTATCATCATCATCATCATCATCATCATCATCACCTTAATCATCATCATCATCCTTATCATCATCTTCACCATCATTTAATCATCATCATCATCATCATCATCATCATCATCATCATCATCATCATCATCATCATCATCATCATCACCATCATCATCATCATCACCACCACCACCATCAGCACCATCACCTTCATCATCAGAAAATCTTCAGATCTTGAACGTATACTTAGGAATGCAAGAATAAAGTATACCATTTCGATGTTTATACATTTGCAAATTACAATATCCTTTCAGGTTGTTCATAGCGGTACCCTTTTAACAAAACCTTGTAGGTATTTTATCCTGTTTGTAAATGAGCTATGGGATTTTATACTAAAAGACCTTTTAAAATTTCATAATTTAGGTTTCTTTATACTGTATGTATAGAATGATTCTAAAATATGTACATACATTTTATATTTTCAAAAATATTGTTAGTATTATTGCAATAATTTAAAAACTTATTTAACACATTTAGTAATCAGAATTATAATCTAGAATATAATTTTCGTCATGACACCTTCATCACCAAATATAAATTTGCTTATAACGCTGTCATTATCATAATCATGATCATTAAGCCTACCACCATGGTTATCAAACCTCTTCATTATAATTATCATCATCAAAATAATAATAATCATCATAACTATCATCATTATCACCACATTATCATTATTTATCACCAACCCCATGAGTATCATCATCATCATCATCATCATCATCATCATTACTATCGTCGTCGTTGCCATTATCATCATCACCCTCGACATCATCATAGTATTTACCCTCATCATCTGGTTCTGGTCCGCCCTCATAAAAACTGCAAAAGTATGACTGGGTATAAAAAA